CCGGACGTCCTAAACAGTGCGATTTATTATTATTATTATTATTTTATATATATTTTTAATAAAAAAATATTTTTGGAATTTTTAAAAAAAATTTATAAGCTTTTCATAGATTTTTGAATTGTGTGTTTGATTATGAGTTGTAAGTTTTTGTATCAAATGTCATATGTCACATCAAAAACTTCTCACTCAATTCAAAACTCTTTTCAAAACTCATTCACCAAACAAATTTTCTACACTCAAATCATAATTCCAAAACTCATAAACACAAAATACAACTCATATTCTCAAATCATAGTTAGAAAACTCTACCAAACGCAACCATGGATTTTCCACGAGCCCATGTTTTTATGTCAATTGAGTTCAACTTCATAATTCAAAATGAAAAATAATAATAAATAAAAAGAGAACAAAATAAAGGGCATTTGACTAGGCCATGCAATCAAACAAAGCACATCTAGTTTACCATATATGTTGTTGCGTGTTACCAGAAAACGTTAATACCCTAGTGAATTACGTATTGGTATGCACGTTCTGAAACTTGGTACACTTCCGTTCCAAAACAGTAAATTTAGTGATTCGAAGCGATCCCAATTTTTTTTTTCAATATTCCCTTAAATGTTACCTTAGAAGGAAAAAAGTCCAATATATTGAACTAAAATTTAGTGTGAGTTAAGTTTTGACAAGATAAAAACATCAAAAATGAAAAGAAATAGAAATACATTTTATTGGATGCCTAATAGTTAAAAGAAAATTTACTCTAGAAGTAGCTTAAATTCTTAAGTGTAATAGATACGAATCTACCCCTATCGTACCCCATTTTAGAGCATGTGACGTACCACCGTTTCTGTTCCACGTTCCAAGTAACATATTTTGGTCAAGAAAATAAACTGCTCACACGTCGAACTCTAAATTTCCATAAACATAACTGTTGGAATATATTTTTTTTATTTTAAATGTGGCATGCTATGAAGCATAGACACTTCAAATTATTTTCCATAGCCATGTCTAACACGTGTTGGACACAAACACGCCTCGGACGCATTAGGACACGTGTTGGACACACCACATGGTGTGTCTTATTATTATTGTTTTTCTTATTATTAGACATTGGGGACACATCACAGATGCCCTAGGCCACATTGGACTTGTGATTATATATATGTAATGGATGTTCTATTCATTATTAATTAAATAATTTTGACATTTGTGATGTAATGGTTTATGCTTCACAGAATAATATTTTACGTGTTGAATGATGTTTAAGTTATAGATTTTTTTAATTATTTTTTAGTTGAATTAGTAAGGTTTTTCGTTATTTTGGGTTTTATGTCAGTGTAATGTTCATGTACATAGAGAACAAAAATATATAAAGAATATATTTTTGATGTATCCATCGGGCCGTGTCCTGAGCTTTTGGAAATTATTGTGTCCTGTGCCCGTGTTTGTATCCGTATCCCTATTTGTGTTTCTTAGGTGGTATGTAATGTAAACTGGCTCATTTCTCTTGTAATTTCAAATATTATGTACACATGGAAGATATATTCCACAATTTATGGATGAAGGTCAATAATTGAATAATTTTAAATTGATTGCCATCCCATGATTTCCTCTGACCTAGATTTGGGTATAGAAATGAAATTTGAGCAACACTGACCTGTTGTTTCAGAAGCTTCAAGACTTACACTGATAATGAGACATTTCTTTGAACAACTACTATAGACAAAGAAGATCATTTAAGACTAACATTAACAGGCTTAGGAGAAAAGATATATTTTTGGACAGTTGTAGTCTTGCAAGTCATGGTTGGGGTTGAGCCAATACGTATGCTTACAACCCTCATGAGAATGCCATTGATTTATAAATCCCACCTACTATTATGTTTTAGAGAAAACTTTAATTTTTCATAAATGCTCATGGCTTGTAATCCTATTTGAACTATTAACGTTCAGTGCCACTTCATGTTCAGCCCCACTACATATCTTTTTACTTTAGTTATTAGGAAATGGGTCTAACATTGTATATAAAGCTATCCAACACCCTCCCTCTAGTACAATTCTGTCTTGCACCTAGAGATGTAGGCAATCATAGATAAGCAGCATGCAAATGAGAAACAAATGCAGAAGGAGAAACTTGAACCCATGATCTCTCCCAACCTGGGCCAAATAATGTATATCAAGCTATCCAATGTAGATAACCTATGAAGTTAACTCTTACACCTAATCTTAATCACATCTTCCATCTATAAGGACTCTGTAATAATTTATTTTCCATTGCAAGTTTTTTCAAACTCCCTTTCATGTGATCTATATGAGCCCAAAAAAAAAAAAAACGTAATCTGATATCATGCAACACCTGGCGACTGATGCAATCTCTACATTGAGCAGTACATGTTAAGACTATGAGTGGTCTATATAATGAATCTCATTAAAGAAGGTTTTAAGGTGCTCGCTAAGTCCAAGGAGATGTCAATGCCTCTTCCCATTCCTGTCTTGATGCATCTTTTTAGTTGGTTCAACATTTAATTTGTGCATGGCTGTCAATCACATGTTTTTGTGTGGGAACGGAAATAATAACTTTTGGTTGTATTTTTACTACGTAAGGTGCTAAACCTTTGGCATAACCATACGTTTAGATCCCTTTGATATTTTTCTTCAATAATTTTTTTAATTGCACTGTCTTAATGCAGCGTATTAGGATTGAAGGGATTAAGAATGACCCATGGTTCCGAAAGAATTATGTGGCTGTCGAACATGGAGGAGATGAAGACTTGAATCTGGACAATGTTCATACAGTTTTTCATGACATGGAGGTTGGGCATTTTTTTTTGGTTGGAATCTTTTAACTTTGCATGCTAGAAGTGTCACAATGCTAGATTTTTGGAGGTTTCTTAAAACAAATACCATGATAAAATATCAGCACTTCTATTTGAAGGAACTATGTCTTGTTGCTCTTTCAATATTTTTCTCTTGCCTATCCATGCCCTTCAATGTCTTTAGGGTTAACATTTGGTAGTTTCTGGTATTTACAGGAACAGCATGTAACTGAACAATCTGAAAATAATGACAGTGGGCCTTTAATAATGAATGCATTTGAGATGATTACCCTCTCTCAAGGGTTGAATCTTTCAGCCTTGTTTGACAGGCGTCAGGTACAATTACTTTCAATTTGCTGCCAGAGAAATAGTTAATTGAAGTTTTCCATCCTCCATTTTCTACGTACTGGAATGTTAAAATTTACCATCACCTACCACCACCTACTCCTCACTTACTACACTCACCCTCTCCTATATAATGAGCCACTCACCATTTGTAATAAATACACAATATCAGATATCTATCAATATATCAATCAATAATACAATCAATTTTATACATTGAATTTTAACTTGGTATCAGAGCAGGTTTAGAACCTCATATTTTCGCTTCACCGGCGGGCGGCAACCTCACCTTAGCCGTCCGCCGGACCTCAACCTATTCCCATATTTTCTACACATACCTTCCCATATTTTCTTCTCTTTCACTCATCATCACATCAGCACCACATCCAGATCTGCAAACAATAGAGGGATCTCAGATCCACCCATCCAAATTTACAACTCAAAGTCTCCTCCTCCGTAGCTTCGGCGACACCACCGCAGCACCGAGAACCTGTGATCGTGCTCCTCCTTGGTGGCATACGACTTTCCGAACTTGCTCTTGAAGAGGCTGAAGTGGTGGTGGTCGTAGTTCAACTGGTGGTCCTCGCCGACGACCTGCCGGATTATGACGTCAGCTGGTGACTTACAGACCCTTTCAGATGTTGATCTGAAGCTCATTGCTTTGACGTATACATTGGAAGCTCAGATCCCTGGTACTACACATCTCAGAGACATCCCTTCCCCTATTCACATGGTTACTGTGACCCGACTTCCTGAGAATGACTTGCCTGGGTGGGGTTCCAATGTTCCACATTTGGAAGAGTGGGAAGCCTTGGAGCATGAATCTGAGGATAAATCAAACCCCAATTCAAGAATCCTCCCACTTAACTTTCTTTTTCTTTTTTTTATTATTTTACTTCATCTTTTGAAAACCCACTTAACTTTCTTTTTCTTTTTTTTATTATTTTACTCCCTCTATTGAAATGAAACCGACAACACCACACCAACAGCACCCACCAAAGCCATCATGCTTATTATACTATATTAACTATGCACATGGGCATGTTATCTCTCTCTCTCTGCAGCCACTTTCTTTTCTTTTAATATATGCTTATTATACTAACCTACAGCACCCACAAACTCCACCCACCAAAGCCATCATGCTGTTCAATGCGCCATATTATTCTTCTTCTTATTATTATTTTTTTTTATTAAAAAAAAAAAAAAAAAAACAATTTAAAGCCTTCGTTTGGAGAGACCAATCTCGACTTTGAAGGCAGAGAGAGGAGCACTAAGGAAAGCACACCCATTCTTCTTTTATTTATTTAATCACACTCACCAAGTTTGTTTCACTCTCATTATCACATCCATACACACCGGTATCATGTTGTCTTCAACTTTCTTTTATTTATCATTTTAAAATACACCCTTATCATGTTGTTCCCCACCTTCTTTACTTTATATATATATATATATATATCTCTTTTTATTATATATTTAAAAAAAAAAATTAAAAAAAAAATAAAAATAAAAAAACACAAAACAAAACAAAACACAACCAACACAAATCGGAACAGTGGGATTTTTCTTCTCGCCTATTCTGCCGGTCTTTTCTTCTTGCCACCGTCTTGGGCGGCCCTTGCCGGTGTTGCCTCCGTGTTTCCCACTCCACTGGGCATGATCACTACTCCCTGCTCCTCCACTGCAGCATATGGCGGGCCTCCAAATCGGAACATAAAACTGGCCTTCCGCTTCAGCTCCTTGTTTTCCGCCTTTAGCACACTTATCTCTGCTCGCGCATCCTTATACATGCGTTGGAGCAGAGCCAGTTGGGCGTTTAACTGCTGCACCTCATTTGTCCTACTCTGCAGCCGGTGCGACAAGTTTGTGACCGCCGTCATGGTCTCCACACATGACTTCAAAGTATACTGATTGGCCTCAATATCCGTTTGCACTGCCATTCTTTGCTCCACAGACCGCATCGGAAAGTTCAACGGAGCAAACTCCGGGGCGCTTGGTTGAGGTTCCAGTGCCACCGCACCAGTTCTCTCTCTTGTTGACTCGTTGAGGTCGGGAAAGAGGGTGAGCAGTCCACGGGAAGACGAGGCCGAGGCCATTTTTCTGGGCAACAGAGTGTTACAGACTATCTCCCTCAGCAAAACGAAGAAGCGTTTTTTTTTTTCCAGAGGTTTTTCGCAGCTTTTTTCTGCCTCAGCCTCAGCATCAACCTTGGTTAAATAGCCAAGGCAGCCACGCGCATCGCGCGCCTCTTGACGCCCGACAAACTGGCACGCCTTTTCATGGCACATCTTTTGATAAAGTGGACACGCCTTTTGATTGCACGTCTTTTGATTTGAACCACATTCCTTATTTGTTGCATTGGACATTGCATTACATTCATTTCATTGGAAATGTATTTGTTTTTGAGAAATGTTTGGAAATGTATCTGTTTGCGAAAAGATGAATACTTGGTGAATTTACGTAAGGTGTGTAGATTCGCGTGGTTAGGTGTCGAGCCTTCCAGTTTACTGATAAAAATGACAGTGGTAGTGCACTGGGGCTTACTTACAGACACTCACCTAGAGATTCACAGAGCTTGTATTCATGTAACAGATATGATTTAAAATGGAAATGGTTTTATATCTGTTGTTGCATCTCAGCATTGCATGATTTATAAAAAGAGAGATAAATTGTTTTATCATGAGCATGGCATGAGCATATTCCTCTTTAGTCTTGTCATGGTCCATATGTTGTGTAGTATATCTCTACTAGGCTGTGGCTCACCCTATAAGGGAAGCCATTTGAGGTACATGTGCTATGCCTCCGCCAAGGCACTAACTTGGGAGGACTCAGAGCTGAGGCTTCATTTTTGTTTTATGGTTATTTATTGAATGTAAGTCCAGGGCTGTATTTGCGTTGGGTTAAAACTCTATTTTGTGTTACCAAGAATGTTCTTCGATAAATTTGTAAACTTGTGGAGATTATCTGTTTGGCTTCCATTTCATACTTGTTGTAAAATGCATGTTTGGGATTGGAACTGGGTCATTGAGATGTGAACAGCATGCATTTGACATTTGGGATTAAATGGAAATTGATATATGGAATAATTAGCTATATATATATGTGTGTGTGTGTGTGTGTTTGTGTTTGTCTATCAGGTGGGTTTGTTGTATAAATAGATATACCTTGTCCAATTTTTTTTTTTTTTCCGGGGCGTTACAGAAAACGTCAACTTCCCAATCACTCATAAATGGTTTTGACGAACCGTCTTCATCGTATGACTTCTCATGTGACAAGGAACACGTTATCTCTTTGGACCCACCCCAAAAGACGTGTGGACCCCACTCAATTGGGCTCAAAAATTGCCAAAAATAAGCCTATGCAAAACCAATTTTCCAACATTTTGACATAATTACATTAGTCTCCTTTAAATTTTTGATTCACATAATAGTTAGGTCATTTTTCATATGGATGAAAAAAAATAATGATATTTTCAATTATTTTTAACTTAAAAATATATTTATTTTTATTTATTTCAATCTCTACTCATTATTTACATTAGTTTCAATCGTTTTAACTTTATTTAAAAAGGAGATCAACATAATCATATATAAAATTTAAAAAATTTAAAACTAACCGTTTTTTCTTTAAATTATAGGGAAGGTGAATATAATTTAAGAAGATACTACAATATGCATCCTAAAAAATGTACATATGGTATGTTTTTTATAATTTTTTTACAAAATTTCATAATTTAAACACAAAATGTCGTAACTTTTTCACTAAAAAAGTCATAACTTTTTTATACTAAAAAATGTCATAACAAAGTCCCAAAACGTCTTAATAAAAATCACAAAGTGTGATAACATTATCACGTCTTAATAAAAATCACAAAGTGTGATAACATTATCATTCCTAATTTTAGAATATACACCATTCATAACTTTACCACAAAATATTATAACACATATTACAAATAATCATAATATTTATTATAAAAAAATATAATTTTTTTACGATATATACTATTTAAAAAGAGACACATTATAAATTTCTCTTATAATTCATCCTAAATGATTTTAGTCTTGTCAGGTTTGAAAGGAAAAAAATATGACGACATTGCTTCACTTTTTCCGTGAGTCCCAAATTGCAATTATAGAGTCAAGACCCTATTTATTTATTGTTGAATTGATTTTTTTTTGGCTCAATTTATTGTTGAATTGATTGATATAGGATTATTGGGGTAGAGTCAAGACCCTATTTATTTATTGTTGAATTGATTTTTTTTTGGCTCAATTTATTGTTGAATTGATTGATATATATATATAGGATTATTATATTGTTGAATTGATTGGTATAGGATTTTGAAGCATTTTCATCATTCACATTATCATTTTGTTAAGGTGAGGTCTAGATGTCATTTTCATATTGTTATTTTCATTCCAAATAAAACGATAATTTTGATGTTGATTTTGATTTTGATTATTATTATTTTTGTGTGCGTTGTCGTTGTACAACTGTCAAGGTTGATGACATCACAATGTATAAGTCAATAATGAATAACTCATGGGACGAATAAAGGGATGTGAAGGAAGGGAAATTAAGGTTGTGTTTGGCTAAAGTTTGAAATTAATATTTTATTCTTATATTTAAATGTTATGTTTGGCTTAAATTTTTAAAAATTGATTCTAAGGTCACATTAGAATGCATGTTTGGCAGAGTAGAGTTTTAAATTTTGAATTTACGGATTGGATCTATTTGGTTATTGTCCACCTAGACATCTCCGGATGTCCGGTCAGTTGACTGGAATAGTGGTTTTTTTTTTTCTTTTTCAATTGCAACCTATTATTTGAAAAAAAAAAGAGTTTATTTTTGGAAGGAAGGGAAATTAAGGTTGTGTTTGGCTTAAGTTTGAAATTAATATTTTATTTTTATTTTTATATTTAAATGTAATGTTTGGTTTAAATTTTTAAAATTTGATTCTAAGACCACATTAGAATGCATGTTTGGTAGAGTAGAGTTTTAAATTTTGAGTTTACGGATTGGATCTATTTGGTTGTCCACCTAGACATCCCCCGGATGTTCGGTCAGTTGACTGGAATAGTGATTTTTTTTTTCTTTTTCAATTGCAACCTATTATTTGAAAAAAAAAGTTTATTTTTGATATTTTTTAAATATAGAAAATACTTTTTTTAATCATTTTTAAACAAAACAATTAAAAAAATTCCAAATTACAATCAAAAGTAATTTTAAAGCACCAGTTAAATATTTTTTTAATAAAAAATAATATTTTAAATAAAAAAATTTTCGGAATTTTTAAAAAATTTTAAATAAAAAAATTATTTTTTCAATAATTATTTTTTAAAAGGAGTTTGGTTATGAATTTTGAATATAATTTTTTAATAAAGTTTTGAGTTATATGTTTAGTTGTGAGTTATAAGTTTTTGAATTAAATATTGAATTTTTGTTTTCAAAACTCATAACCAAATAACTTTTCTCACTTTAAAACTCATTTCACAAATTCAAAACTCAATTCAAACTTCAATTCAAAACTCATAACCAAAAAATTTTTTTCTTTTCAAATCATAATTTAAAAACTCACAAACTCAAAATATAACTTCACACTCAAATCATAATTCTAAAAGTAAATCAAACGCTACCTCAATTACTCTTCCGTGAATTATTCAATTCTTTAACCATGCATTTTTTCCCTCTTTTCTTTCTTAAAAAAGAAAAAAAGAAAAAAAAAAAGAAGTCTATTCTTACATAATGTTTTATACAAAAATACATTCAGAATGATAGAATAACATTATTTTAGAAAACCGTCTTCGTAACTTCAGTTCAACACATTTTGTACACATTCTTTAGCGTGAATTACATTGA